GTTCGACTTTTATATTTGCGGAACTGTGTTCTTCTGTGAGAGAGAGAGAAAAAAGAACACGTTCCAGCCTAAACTCCTGGTGTATTCGACAACCCTGTCACTTGCCTATAACGAACGCGAAAGAAGACCGAGGTTCGAGGGTTTCGGGGTGAAAATTGGAAAGTGTCTGCCCCCCGCCGGCGCCCTGCATTTTCACGAAATCCTGGCGCGCAGCGCGAGAATAATGGGGCTTTCGAAGCCCAGAATTCGGGAAAACAAACTCAAAACGCCTGTGCAACTTGGTACGAAGAAGAAGGGGAAATGGGGGGTCAAACACCCCTCGTCCTTCCCGCCAACCGAGCATTGTACTGTACTTTACTGTGCAGACCTTGTACCGCATCCAAGCCAGAAGACCATTTGAGAGGAATTATAGTTGTTCCGGGACCGGAAAGTCAGGAATTCCAGGAACGCTGAAAAAAATTTTTTTTTACCCTCTATTATGCATGAATATTTGAAAAAGTTCGAATTTTAATTCTATTTTTTTCGGATTTTGCTGACGTTTGCGGTATGCTTACTGATCAGTGCATTTGCATAGCTTAGTACTAAATCGCTTACTCGAGACGAATATTTTGACCAACTCTCTGGCCTAATATTTCTGCCTCATGTGCAAAACCAAAACTTGAAATTGAAATATGGTAGGAGGAATAATTCGTAAAATAAGTTTTCTTCTACATAAGACGTTCAAGGCCTTATAGGCATTACAAATTTCAATTTTATGTAAACGTCTGTTCGGAAGTTCACATACAATTGAAATTCGCAGTATTCTAATTCTGAGAAGCGTATTTTTAACACAATGCAAAGCGTATATTACCGTCAATTTTATTAAAATCGTGCTATGATAAAATAGAACAGATTCTCGGGAATGCCGAATAACATATACAGTATATTGTGTGTTCTAGTGTTCAGGTTATCTGGTTTGAATGGCTCATTTCTCAATGATGGTTTCTAATGAGTCTTGTTTGTTGGATGATTGCCTGACTTGGCGAGGAGAATATCTCTGGAAATAGTGCAGAATTATGTGATACAGGTGAAACCCAATAACACGAAATTCCTGAGTCGGTTACCTACTTAATTCAAATGTTCTCATCTGAATTTCTTTGGGAACAATGCATTAGAAACCTCTCTAACTCGAAGGCGTTTCTCTCAAACCTCCGTGACTCGAATTTTTTTTAAGCCTTTTGACTATGATTTTCTGGACCCTGGAAAGCGGAAAACAATGAAAATTTAAAGATTTGTTTTGAAAAAAAGTGAAATACTGTACTAATTGGGCAAACAAACCCTTGCCCCCCAAGTTCAGCAACATCTCAACTCATTTGAAAAGCAATGTAAGTCTACGAGTATCACCATTTACGATTTCGTGCAATTCCTCTTTTTTCCCCGCAACAAAAATGCTTTTTCTTCAACTCGACTGTTCTTCGCTTATCCCATCAAATTCTACTTGAAGAGTTTTGTCTGTAATTTCTATCTGAACCTTAAAAATTCAACGCTCTTCAACCTCAGCTGACATCCGTAATTAAATTCCACGCAAGAAAAAAAGATGTGACCCGTTAAAATCCTCGCACATACCAACGCAACCTTTTTGTTTCCCTGGGCCACAGAAATCTCGCAACACCTTCTGTTGTGCTCGTTGGGGTCTGAGCAGTTCGAGACCCAGGGAGTGGGGTTCCCGAAGGGGAAAAAGCAAGATGATTCTTGCTCACGCTGTCATCAACGCGAGGTGGAAAAGTGCCGACCTGTCTGTCAACCTTCGAACATAATTACACCCCTTGGTTCGAATTCCCTAAAATCCCCGACGATGCGTAGGGGGGTCATTTGCCTTGCCTTTAGTAAAAGCGACGGCTTGATAGCTACTCATTAAGGGCACATGCGATTACTGCCACTATACGTCTTGATTCCGCCGGTCGTCGGCTTAAATAAACGGTTACATCCGGGGAATTGGGATGATTTTTCTCCTATGGAGAAAATATCGTGGTACGGTACATCTTTCACGCCTCTTGTGTGCTCAAATTATATTCAGTATGAATGCAGTATTTCAATTTCATTCCATTTACCTAGAATTGGATTGAACTTTTGAATAGACGTCGTATTCTTTAATCATGTGTGCGAAGTTTGGGAATAAACGATGGCACATTCGTAAGGAAAATAATGACGGTGACTCTAAGGACGCAGTCGATGCATAAAATCTGAGGCAAGGAGTCAAGTCAATTACTTATTTCAATTGAAAGAAACACATCGGATGATACGGTGGAAAATTGTTACCGACGGATTTTTCCCAATTAATGCACGAGATTTGAAAACATTCATCGAATTATGGGTGATAGATTGAATCGTTATAAAAATGCGCTGGGCTCCGGATGATGATTCAAGTTTTATAACCGATCAAGCATATTTTAATCCTTGTTGATCATCAAGATACCACACAGAAATGTCGACAAATGCTTCTGACAAACTTCAATTACCGTGCGATGTTTGACAATATAAACAAGAGGTGCCGTAGAATTTTCATGTGACTGTTAGGTGTCACTGAACTTACGGAGAAAAATAGTTAAAAGCGAATATAAAATACAAATGCAGTATGGAATAAAAAATGTATGCATGCATTGATATTGTGCTCGTAAATATGATACACAGGATTATAAAAAAATGCGTGCAAAATACATGAAGTAAAAATTCTGGGTTACGCTCTCATCCGATGGGAAACAATCCCTTCAATCCCAGCATTTTTGCCTTCGGAGGTCAAGTTTTCTGTTACCGTATTCTACGTGAAAAAAAAAACAGTTTTTGCAGTGATTTTGTCTGAAACGAAATCCTCCCCTAAATTTTATTTTATTTTTTTTTTTTGCAGCAGCAGCAGCAGACCTTCCATTAAAATTAAAGCAGCTCGTCAAAGACGATTTTCCCTGCAAACGAATTAACAATACTCTAGTCTATTTCAGAGGGAATTTTTTTTCGAGAGAGACGAAGCAGTATTTTGTCACATAGGTGAATGTCGTCAGCGCATCACTCGTCAACAGGCTGCTTGAAAATAAATCTTTTAGTCGGAATTCCCTTTCCTCATTGATTTACTGGATTGACATTAACTGAGGGGGAATTTTTTAAACTGAAAATTCCATCAAGCTCTTATGCTCGGCACTCTTGAAGTTATAATTTGTGACTTGTTCAAATCAGGTGGAGAAAGACTCGAGCCTTTACGCTATATTATGTACCAGCGCAGTCACAAGCGCCATGAAGGGTTAACTCGACCGAGTACAGGCTCACCACGCGTTTGATGTGCCGCCAAAACATGTACCAAGAACGCAGTCATGCGTATTACACGCCTTGTGAACGGCAACCCGCCGTCTCATTTGCAGTTCCCGCTTTTAAATACTCACTCGAGGTAACTTGCAACGAAAGAAGGAGACCTTTTGTTTCACGAAAACCCCGCCGAAACCTCTTCATCATGATCATAATACGTTTCCTTCACTCCGTCTTACACGGGTTGCGAACCCGGGAGACTTAGAATAAAAGCCGGCATCAGGCACCGTGAGCCAGCAACTTGGTGAAGTGCAGGGAAAGTTTACATTTGCTGCCGGGCCACGAAAATAGTAGTCGTGATAAAAAAAAAAGAAGTTTAAGGATCGAAAGCCCACTGCGAGAGTCATTCTTAGAACTAATGAAGCCTCTCCTTACTGCGTTTTTCCGAAAGTAAAACAGGTATTTATTAGTTGTTTTTACCATTTCCTCTGAAAAAATGTACGATAGGGCGTATTATGAGGGTATACGTATGTCCTTTATTTTTATTTTTTGCAAGAGCAACGAAAGTGATTAATAACGATCAGGATTTCTGCTTCAAACTTTTCATGCGCATTGGATTTACGTAGAGTATAATTTTTAGCGTGTTATAGGCTGAGAGAACCGCTGATCGATGGCAGAATTATTTTGCGAATATAGCAGGAGGCTTAAAAATATGTGGATTCGACATACTGTATAGCTATATAGGCCGTTGACAAAGCTAAGACAAGATTCAGGTACAAAAAGCTATTTTTGGGTAGGGACACTATTTTGAGAAGTTTTCTTGAACTTATTCTATGATTTGCTCTCATTTTTTTTTTAGAAAAAACGATTCGGAAATCTCTTAAGATTGTCAAATCACGTCGATTACTAGTAGTTCTACAGAACTATGCTTGTGACCTTCTACGGAAAATTCAACCAAGGGAAATAATTTTTGGAAACCGTTCCTGGGGTACAGTAACATTGCTGAATATACACGTACTGTGTATCAATCAATTTGGACAAAATACTGTGAAGATAAAAAAAAAAGTTTTTACCAGTACGTATTTCTTGGATGAAAATTTTTCCCGTGCAGTCCAAGCTTTTTGTCAAAGATTGGGCATGCATATACACGGCTTCTTGTGTAAATCGTGGAATTTTTGAAAATGAAGCATCGATTTTCAATGAATATACTGTATGTACCAACCCACTTGGACGAAACAGATCCCCGAATTTTTCATTTATATACTTTAAATAAAATGTCTCAAATAGAAACGGACCAAGGAAGCGAACTTCGTTCCGTCCATTTGCATGGCTTCACATTAAAATTATTTTATACTGTACTTTTTGGAGAAATTATATTGTTTAATTCTTTTATCAAACCGCATGGGTAAGATACTGTAATTCCCTAAATTTCACGACTTTGAATCATCGGTAGGATTTTTCGAAAATATATGTACTGTACTATATACTACATCCAAAGCACTTTCCGCGACCTTGGAAAATGCAATGAAATTCGCAAGGATTCTTTTGCACATTAACGCGTTGTCTTTTAAAACTCGGAAAAAGCTGTTCACATATATGACATTTGGAATATTTTTTCACTGCGAATTTTCGTGAAGCCCCCTGCATTGTGAAGAAGCCCTCTGTCACTCAGGGATGACCAGCAGCAACCTGGCAGGAGATAAAAATTCCGCGAGGAGGAAATTTGCATGCGACTCATCCTCAAACCCTGTTCGGGTCCGACGTCGCAGTACTCGAAGCTTTCGAGTGCCGTACCCGCAAGCGTGATCCTTCAGAGTCAACTGGTACACGGGCGAGAACCAGAGGCAAGCTGGTCGGCGACTCTTGAAGCACATTCATTTTCCTCCATCCATCACTTCCCCACGGGGGTTCACAATCGTTCCTGCTTTCTCACTTTTATTACGAAACTGATACTACATATTATAATGCAGAAGAACTAATAGATTGCGGCAGTATAACCTTCGTCCTCGGGATTTTATTATAAATTTGCGTCAAACATTGTTGAGCGCTTGAGGAACGGCGGCTCTCCCTCTCCATCTCAAACTGAACTCCTGGTGAATAAAAAAAAAGTGAGTTGTATACACTTCATCAAAAGAAAATACAGAGGGGATATGACACAAATTGTATCGCATTGCAGTATATTCGCCGTAAGCTTTTAATGCGGAAATGCCTTGCCAAAAGAAATGAAGCGAAAAATGCACGGATTTACAGTACGCTTATTGTCTTCTGTGATTGATGAAAGTAACATTAAACGGCGAAATTATTGTATTTTCAGAATGGCTTCAGAAACAATGCTGGTGGCTAATGCTGGTTAATTTTCCGTAAAAATGCATAGAAGCCTAGCTTCATCATTGGACTACAGCTGTAGGGTTTCAGTTTCATGTTTCTTCGAAAATAAAATCTACTCCTGGAATACTCATATGCGTAATTCTGAGAAAGCGATTTAAAATTTGAGCATATCCAAAAAAGTATCTCTTCATAACTTAATACCATATAAGGTATTCATTGATGATTTCGAATTGTTCATCCTCCCTACAAGAAAAGAATTACTTCATGTTATGATTTTACTATACAGTGCAGTACTGTAGTTGACTTTATGATGCAAAACATGGTGAAGCCTTAGTTAATGAACCTCATCCATTCCACAGGGAGGTCCAGTATCCAAAGATTAAATCAACTGAGTAATTTAAAGCTTTATTGAATAAAAAGTATTAGCGAGATCCCTCAAATTTCCACGATACAATTTAGATTAATTTTGTTCAAAAATATCCTAAAATAACGAAATAAACCTCGGAAATAAGGGGAAAATTCCTCTAAGCTTGAAAAAACGTGGAGAAAAAATTAAATAATTCACATTAAATGTATTGGGGAAGCTGTCATTTATCGATAACTTTAAATCTGATTAGACCATTTTAATTTTTCTGCACAAAAAGTTTTGAATCCTCGATGGTTCAAGTCTCTTCCGTAAATTTATGAAATGCCGAAGATGTACTACAGCTAAAATTCATCGGAAATATGCGTTAAGGTTCCATTCGGAACCTTAATGCATGCAAAAGCAAGCTTGACGTATCTCGTACAGTATTTTGGAAGGATGCCTCACTTCAATAATTCGCGAATGTCTATTCAGTGCTTATCTTGCGAATTCACTTAACAAAATTTTAACTCTCTCAAGAATTTGAAGCTGCGACATAACACATATGAAATGCATAAGCTTGCTTCGGTTGATGCTTATAAAAAATAACACAGTGCTATCAGGTGACTTCTTCAATGAAGAAGCCTTCTTTTTCATGCTTAGAGCCTTCACCACAAAAAAAAAGGTTTACGTGCACTTCGTCGAAATTTTTCAACGGAACCGGTTCGTTAATCGCTGCTCGCGTATTATTTTGCATGGTTTTCCTGCATCTTTGCAAACCTTTAATGTTCTTGGCAAATGATGACCACTGCGATATCAATTGCTGTAAGTGTTGTTCCGGTCACATTGTTGAGGCTGATGAAGAAAGCTTGAACGAGCGCGAAAAATCTCAGGTATCGATTATGTTTTCTCTCCTTTGAATTTCGAGCCTGGAATTATTGTTATAACTGTTCGTATAGTTCGTTACTGCAAGCAAAACACAAAAAAAATCAAATATGGAGCTGACCCGAAAGTCTCAATTGATTTCGAACAGCTATTTTGTGTCATGTTCCGAGACATTTGGGAAAGGAAAGTACATTAGTTGAAAGTTAAAAACGTTTTTTAAAGTTCAGCAGCCTCAGCTCGATGGAATTGCTGCTGATTCGTGCGACGTTTTGAAATGTTCCATTAGGTTACCTCATTTTCTTTCCAACTCGTAAGAGTCGTGTGTGAAATTTCTGGTCGAGCTGCCAATCCATTCAGCAAATGACTATAACTGAAGAGATAGTTCACAGATCGTTTCGGTACCTTATTATAAATTCGTGTGAGTACTCGAGTGTCGGAACCCTCTTCAAGTCAAACTGCAATCTACAATACTGTATTTGAAAAAGTCGCGTTACTCTTGGATTTTTTTTTCGTGATTGCTGCAACCCTCAAAATTTCTTATGGCACATTTTGAATGAATTTTGTGATTTCCTGCTGAATACAATAATTGCTTTTTTAGTCAATGAAGATGAAATGAGGGACAATAGATGCTAGGATACGCTCTCGTATTTAGTTTGATGAGTTATTTCCCATCTAAATTTTCCCGTGTGCGATAAAGTCCCGAAGTTATTGAATCGAATTGCTGTTAAAACCAAGACTCACAAAAATGATGCATTTGTAATCTATAAATTGGATATACAGGTACAGTACTTTGCATTATTATGCAAGTGCTTTATGTTTTTCTTACCAAGTGTATCCTGTAAACAGTTTGGCTAGGGCTACCCAATAAGATTGTCAAGGATGTGTGTCAAGTTGTGTATATGATACCTCACCATGCCAATTAAATACGGTATTATCTTGGGGTAATTTTTGGCGAATTAGGAAGCATTTAATTATTATTATGCGTCCAAAGAAAATTGAATCGGCGTGGAAAGACTGGATCCGGTTTTTTTGCGAGAGTTTCTAAAGCTCGGTCCGCCCTCAAATTATTCAGCCAATGTTTATTTCATTTCGACGAAATTGACCCTCAATTCGGATTTCTGCTTTTTTTTTTTAAATCATTCTGGGAACACTTTTTCTCCCCGTATGCCCGACGTTTTTGTCACTTCTTCGCGACAAAAGCGGAAAGCGGCGGCAGTTTGTGAAAGATTGGCCAAGTCGCCTGTCGTCAACGAAAATGCATCATCGTCGCCAGATGTCTCAAACGATGCCTGTCGTTCGCTATGCACCAACACTGATGCCTGCAGCGACGTTAAGAATACCCTATGTGTTGGTGGGTGTGGAGTCGCCGAAAAGCCGTCGGTTCGCCGCCTTTTGCCGCCACTCACGCGGTCCCCGGCCGTGGACGACATGCAGGTCATGTTCAAAGCGCTCGCAACCGCCATCTCTGTCGGCGGTGGCAACACTTTCTTGTTGCTCAAGAGGATGTATGACGCCGGCATTGTCTCTGCTATCAAGAAAAGAGTCCTTGTGAGAACATTTGTGATCATTTATGGACTAGAAATGTGTTTCACATTCCCATGTGCATGAACCTGGTTCATGTATGATCATGGACCTTAGTAATTCGAACTAAACGTGCATGTTAGGAAATTTTTTATGGCAACTCCTTTCATGCTGAGATTGTCGGCAGACATGTAAGAAATGCCAAATTTACAGGCTATTTTTACGTGATCGGTTTTACGAAGTGAATAAAAATTCTTGCCGATTCTAAACTGAATTATTCACGTATTTGTAATACTGTAAGACCGTATACAAGCTTGAACCAAATTTGGTGTTAATTTTATAAATGCTTCATCTATACATATGGAACAAGATTTAAATAAATTTACTGCAACTAAAAGCCCGCTTTCCTAATATATTTGGTCACCTTCATCACCATGAAAAATTGTTTTCTGTCTAAAACACATTAATTTTGAAAAAAAAGAAAGGGCTGGTTTTCATGTGCTTTCTCTAAGTCAAATTTGTATACAATGCTCAGGTTTTTTTTGTGCTACTTTTGATCATATGTATAGTCGTTAGTAAACATATATTATATCGAGTTGTGGTGGGAGTACTGTTGAAAATAGAACACCTTTTTTATGTCGCCACGTAAATTAGCACATCTGATGCGACTCTGAGACGCATTAAAATTATCCAAAAGCATGAAAAGATCCAGAACGATTCAGAATCAGAGGAATTATGTTTTTTTATTTGTATAGATATGGCAATTGTCACATGAGATTTATTTTTGAAATACCTTCAAATGAATTTTTCGAATTTAATTGGTCAATTAGAATCGGATTTCAAGTAATGTATTGATAATATTAGTCATAAGCGATATTGGAACAATTTTGATTCAGTTTTGTGACAATGTTCTCATCATTTCATGCGAAAAGTATCCCTGCAAATTCCCGACTTGAACCGGATGTGTCTAAGTTTTTAACTGGGAAAATTGATTTGTCTGGATGATGACTGTAGCATACTAGCCCTTCCAAGCATAAACCAGAACCATGCCATTGACTGCATGTTTCAATAATTATTATTCCAAGTTCCTTATACTTTAGTCTGAGGCCCTTCTTCCGAATGATAATAATTATGTTTCCCTTTTTGAGGGCGGCGTGCCGTATTTGGGCGTCAGTGCTGGTTCGAATGTGGCGGCCGTCAACATTTGCACAACGAACGACATGCCAATCATTCAACCTCTAAAGCTGGAAGGAATCGGATTGTTGCCGTTCAATATCAACGTTCACTTTGAAAACAGAGGCGACTGCGCCGCATCTAGACGTAATGTACGAACTTCCCTGAATAATACGAACGCGTCAGAAAGTTACGAGTAATACTGTAGTTCGCAAGTTTCGTCAGTCTTGTCTTCATTAAAAAAAAAAAAAAAACTCGAAAAGATGATTTTGAAGAAATCTTGTGGGATAAATGAGAATTTAAATAAATTCGGAAGATACCTATCGTATTTCAGAACACTGAATCCCGAACGCTGTTTCGGTTGGCATGATGACTCTCGCATTCCAAGCATAAATCAGACTAAATGTTTCAATAATTATTATTCCAAGTGCCTTATACTGTAGTCTGAAGCCCTTCTTCCGAATGAAAATAATAATGCTTCCCTTTTCGAGGGTGGCGTGCCGAATTTGTGAGAAAACAGAGTTGAATTTTGACTACAATACTCTTTTATAATGAATTGGCTAGCAATTTCGAACATTCTAATGTTTTTAAAATCTTCTTCGTGACTATTGTGCTAGGTCCAAAAACTGAGTTGAAGTTTTAAAAAATACGGTATTCCTACCTCGGCCAGCATTTTTGAGCTGCTGATGCTTATGTAGAAAGTTACACCAAACTTTGGATTGGCGAGCATAAATCTGAAAAAATCACGTTACTTTTGGTAATCATAGACATATGGAGATTAATCTCAAATCTTTTGGTTCAAATTGCTGTAAATTGACTTGAAAAATAGGACATCGAAACATCCTCATTTATAAAGACATCTTAATCTTTTGAAACTTGAAAAAAAATACTTGTTCTTCTATTGGTTTTTTTTTTCTTGTGCTTTTCCGGTTTTGGATAGGAATCCCGAGTGGATCGGCTTCGTGATTATTTAGAGCTTTATGAAGGTGCTCCACCGATTGTTTGCATTCGTGACGGGTCCGCGCTTTACGTAGAGGGCACAACTTTGGGTTACGTTGGCGTGTCGTGTGGAAAATTGTTTCAGCGAGGGTGAGTGTGGTGTACTCAAATCGAAAAATCTTTTGAATGAATTTGAGGAATGAATTACCCGCCGACCGCGGGGAAGCAAAGAAATAAATATCATTTTTCTGAAGCGAGGACGAGCCGATGGACCTTCCCGTGGGCACGGATTTGAGCTTTTTGTTGAAAAACCGGACCTCACATTGCACCCGGATGTGCCTGTCGTGATGGGTTCAGAAGTCTCAACAGCCAGACAAGCGGATTTATTGAATCCTGACATTTCTCATATTTCAGAAGAAAAAAAATCTTTCATCACTTCCCTTCCTGTTTTTCCGACTTCGTGGCCGTTTCGGAAAGTCGCCGATTTTTCTGCAGCCCTTCCTTATCAACACTAGAAATGGCACAGTACGATAAAAGCGAAATTGCTGAGTTATTATTATTGTTTTCCTTCGCCGAATGAAATATGCCCAGCAGCATTGTTTTCGTGATATTTTTGTGTATATGGGATCACATTCTTCCGAATTGATCGAGTATTGTTTTCTCAAAACTGGAGCAAACCAGCAAGCTGAATCTGCTTGGCATGAAAACTTTTCGCGTTTTGCCTCGTAGAGTATTTTATTTCGTTTGACAGGAAACTTTCCATAAAATTGAACTACAGTAATGGCATGTATTCGGCACTTACGTAGGTGCATTAAAAAAATATTTTATTCATTCTGGTGGATTTGTGAAAAACAATAACTTAATGCTGGATTTCCGCAAATCCAAGCCACGTAATAAAATGATCTCTGATCGATATATTGCGTAAAGTGTTGAACAAAATAAATACAGTCGAACCTTTTTAAAGTAAAACTTTCAAATGACCTGCAAAAAAAAATCAAGTTACGGAAGTTTTGAGGTGAAGAACAAGCATTTGTGTAAGGGGAAAGAAAGAAAGATTGCAATATGGTGATATTGTATTGGGGGCCTTAAATTGCGTCTTGATTTGAGTTAGCAGGATGCTACAATTGGAGGCAAGGGTTCGTTTGCCCAATTAGTCTTTCAACTCCTCACAAAACCAATCAAATTATATTTTCATTGCTTTTTCATCTTTTCTGTGTCAATATAATTATAGCCGAAAGGTCTCAAGGAAATTCGATTCATGGAGATTTGAGGAGAAAGCCTTCGAGTTGGAGGGAGGCTTTTCATGGTTTGTGTCTGAGCCTCAGAGGGAATTCAGAGAGGGACTTGAAAAATATTCGATTTGGGGGGTTATTCGACTTTGGGAGGCTAGAGCTGCTATTGAGATTCAACAGAATGTATATATTAAAAGAATATCAATTAAAATAAAAAAGCTGAAACATATTTTTTTCTTTGTACCTTCTCACCAACTTTGCCGCTCATTTGCATTGAAGTTTCCACAAAAGAAGACTTTCCACCTCGGAAAAATTCCGTGTAGCATTCATTCGTATCCTAATTTGGGCATTTTCTCATCCTCTTCATGTGCTGCTCTGAATTAATGCGACCTTGAACCCTAGCATCTTTTGGGTTGGAATAATAGACCAATCTTATCCTCAGAAAAAATGCAGTTACGAGAATATTCAACTTCCCGAGGAGGCATTCAGTTTTTGGGGAACAGCAGTGATTATAAGCCATGCGGGATCCACCATGTTTCGGTAAAATCGGAAAGTAGCCTCGTTAAAGAAGGTGCGATACACGAGCGATTATTTTTTTCTCCTCGTACTTTTGGGCGGAAACAACGAGCGTCATCGTCCGTGATTTTAGGGTTCACGAACACTCAGACATTTCCGAGCATTTAATGGACAATTCATGGAAATTCCTTGGTAGACTAAAGTACGGTACATTCCCGAGGAATGCAGGGGTTTTGTTGCGGTTAAGGAGATTGTTGAGCAGCAAGTCGCGCGTGCCCGAGCGTCTGGGTTCCGGCGATGTGGGTGAGAAGCTTTCCTAAATTCTGGGGCGTTTGGGGTCCTTTTTGTTTCCTACATTCGGTTCTTCACAGTATCCGGGAGGAGGGTGGAAGGTATTTCTAGCGCAAAGGTTCTTTTTTTTATTTCTTGTTCTTTTAAACGTTACTAAAGAAAAAAAGTGTTTTTTTTCATTTTTCTTCGCGTGAGGCGAGAAAGTGGCTGTGGCGTGAATTGATTGCGAGGCTGTCGGGGAGAAAATTGAATGCGTCCGTGATCCGTGGGACCGGCCTTTTAATCGCCCCCGGAGCCACCGGCGGGACGACGAGCTGAGTTTGACTTGCTAACTGCGCAGTAAATCCAATTTTCCTTTTTTCCATCCTCAGTATTTTCTGGTGACATGATAAAAACGCACATGACTAATTATAGAACCTCTTTAAGCCGAAATTTTTGGGAAACAGCAAAAAAAATCGTGTTAGGGAGGTTTCGAGTTTAAAAAGTTTTCTGTTTATGGAGAGGATTTGAGTTAGACAGGTTTTGAGTAAGAAACATTTTTGATTTAGAGAGGTTTCAAGTCAGGGAGGTTTCACTTATATAGAGGCTTCGAGTTAAGGAGGTTTAAAGTTAGGGAAATTTTTTGAGTTGAAGATATTTCCAGTTTGTGATGGTTTTGAGGCAGGGAGATTTTTAGTGAATTATTTCTGAGAGAATTCAGGAAGCGACTTGAAAAAAAATTGACACAGGGAGGTTCGAGTTATCGAGGTTCGATTGTTATTATTTTTTTTGGAACGAATTCATCCTGAACAATTTTTCGTTTTATTGTCGTGAGAAAGAGGGATGTTCCTTGAGTTTTGAGATTGATTAGAACAAGTGAGCAATGATTGAAGAGGGAGGCATGCCTAGGTTAAAGGTTGCCATCGTTCTGGGATCATTTATGCAGCCACGAAGAACCTCCGCGTTTCTAATTCTTCAGTTTCCAATCGACTTAACATCACCTCGGAGGCAGGTGATGTGGTATCCAATTAAATATACTATTTTCTATTACTAAAATGTTGGCAAACTGGAAAAAAAGCACCTATGATCAATCTTTTTTTTCAAATTGAATGTTTTCCTGTTGAAATGTCTCGTATTATTGCCTAAATTATTGCTTATTTGGGAGTACAGTATACCGCAGTACAACGATGGAAGTATGAGGGATGGTCCTTGAGTTTCAAGATTAGTTCAAATAAATCAACAAATCACCTATAGTTTTAGAAATATCTCAGTGAGATTAAATCTTCATATATTTAGCTGAAGTTCAGTGCTTTTTAAGGCAACCTCCACCGACTTAAATTATAATTTTTCACCTTAATTAAAAAGGAAAAAATCTCTATATGTTCTTTCACGTAACCCCCTGTGTTGAATATGAAGACAAATTTGAAGCTCTAGCGCTCAATTCTTTTTTAATTTAAATATATTTTCAAGTTGAGGATATCTTGATCAACATGGTAATCATTACAAAAAGTTCTGGCGTATTGAGTGCTGAAGGCTAGTGTCCGATAAAATAAAAAAAAATGAGCTTCAAAACGTTCGAATGCTTCCTTGTGAATCGAAGCAAACTTTCTTAACATCAATAATGCTCTTATTATCCAGCCAATAAATATTCATACAAATTTAATGGATTATTCAAATTATCACCAGTTACAAAGCGCGTAACGATTATCTTCATCATCCGGGCATTTTTTCTGTGACAACTTTTTTCACAATTTACAATACTTCCAACACCTCGTAGAAGTGAAATTAACGACAGAAACGCTTCAAAGAAGACTAAAAGTAATTCAGTGAAAGAGTTGATCGTGAATGTTTTTTCCTCGGGGAAATGTCGAAACGTCGCTTTTTCAGGGAACTTTTCTTGTAACCCGTTTGTATCCTCGAATAGCAGCTTGTGTCCAGGTCGCTTTTCTCATTCGTGGCTCAATCAACGTGTGTTTTTTTTTTCAAAGTTTATCTTGTGGAGGTTCCTTGTCGACATGTCCGACAGCGGACGTAGAGGCATGCGACCAGACATGCCGAACCCGACATTGTCGGAATTCTTCGGGACTTGACCCTTGGGCTTACTGCGGTCCGGCCAAATAATAGAATTACACGACGAGTTAATCCGCTTTTTTGGTGTGTGCAAAGATAAGTAGATCATTTTATTGATGTAGCAAAGTCTGCTTCGCAGCTGATGTTCAGTCAATGGAAAATTGTGCGGTGATTTGTGCGTGGAGATTTTTAGGAGCTGAATAAATAATCCTGGAATAACGACAACCCTCAATTTTGTAGACGATTGCAAAGTTTGTCGGTGTCTTGGAATCCCTTTCTGTGGTACCGAAATTCTGGAGTCGGAAAACTACAAAACCGCGTAGGATCTCGAATCGTACCCCTGCAAATTTTATGATGCTCTTCTTAAATTCGAAGACTTCGGCTAATCAAATACAACCTTCACATTTCTGTAACAATAATTGAAAATTTTTAATAGTCTGATTCATAACTTTGCGAGACTGTTAATCTATTTAGGATTGGTTTGATCTGTTCAGGTGATCGAAATTGTTCGTATACGGTGCCCTAATTCATAAAACTTTGAACGGTGGAGGGTTAACCCTATTTCTCACCACGGTAATTGGGTGCACATTCAACTCCTTTTCGTTCTTTTGGTTTCAATTTGGTAGGCAAAAGTTGAAAAAAAGACCATTCAATTATCTTTAAAACTAGTATTCATCGTTATTCATCGAAGGATACTCAACCATTGACGAAAAACATTGCCGAAAATTATTGATTTATTTTTCAATTTCCACGCATCGCAGAATTTTCGTTCCATTTGAAAAACACGTCATGGAAAAACCAACAAATCAGAAAAAAATAGTCCTTTCTCGTTCTTTCTGGTGCTTCACCTCTTTTACATTGACTGATGCATGATTGAATGGACTTCAAAAGGAATAAAGAAAGCAAAAATTGTAATCAGATCTGGTTCCCTGCGGGCCTCTGTACCCGTATCCAAAGAAATTCTGGAATTCTCGACGAAAACCAGGGTGGTCTCCTATTCACGTCAGCATTCGCGAGTCAAAATTCCAAAGACGGAATTATTCAAGCGCGCGGAATTCTCAAAAGCGGCGAGTTGCAAAAAAAAAAAAAAAAAAACAGAACAAAAAAACCTGGAGCAAAAAGGACACGAACCTGCTCTCGTTTGGCTTCTTTCGCAGACGGTGCTTTTTTTTATTTCTTTCGTCCATCCGTCCGTCGGTCGGTTAGTGTGACCTTTTTTTCCCCCGCTTGGAGCTAGTCATGCGCGCGATGAGAACTGGAGGCTTTTCCGAGTAAAGCCCTTAGCAGCACTCGGCTGGTGCAATGAGGATTAGGAACATCCCGAGTACTCGAATCAGAAAAGCACTGTCGACCCCTTCGAGACCTGGTTGGGTCGGATCAAGGGTGACCCAGAACCGGTCGACAAGATTTTCTCGTCTATGCAGGGTTAGGAAAAATAAAGGGGGACACGAGGGGAAGTGCGAGTGTGTGGATTTCCATACCGAAGTGACCTTTCTATTCATGAACTTGAACTTGAGAATAATCTAGACCGTTTCTTCGCGCTTCACTGCGGATTCTTGCATGTATTCGAAAAATTAATTTTTTCCTTTATCCA